CCCTCAGAATAAAAGACCAGAAATCATATTTAACGCATTCTCTTACGACCCACAGATACTTTTCAGCTGGAGACTTGTTTCTTTTTGCGAGAAAGTTGATATTTTATACGCACATTTGTGTCCCGGTAACTTTCGGGTGACGCTGATGAAAGCTCCAGCATAGAAGCAGATAAGCCACGCGCCACGTAACAGCCCGAATCCTATTTGGATAAAAAAATGGCCGGCCTTTGGGATGTCACTGATAAATCGGGGAAATGATCCGGTGAACGCCTCACCGCGTTTAATCTCTGAACGGCGGGAACGGAAGTAATTTGCAGCGTTTATTGTTTTCACGGTACTATTTACAACGGAGTTTATAATCATATCGTGGATTGTATATGTTTATTTACCACAATATATTACTTAGTACTTCTAGCAGCTACGAGTAAATAAGCCACAGCAAGTTTTCCAATTTTATTTTAGAACTTGTATCAATAATTAAATCGAAAGTACAATAACTTTCATTTCCTTATTAGGATCGCGGTGAAAGATTCTAGATTTTGATAATCATTTAGCCTTTAAGCTTATTTTCGAAAATATAAAAACGACTGGTACCTACATTGGCTACAAGGCTACATTGCTAGATATTATTTTAAGTCTTTAAGCTTATTTTAGAAAATATAAGGACGTCTCCATGGTACAATGTGTTTGGCGGATGCGTTATTGACGTATGCGTAATATATGGTATGACGTAAAAAGTACCTAGAGCTTTTTAGGGCAGTCAAAACCACCCTCAAAGCTTTTTATTTACTACCGCAATTTTGGGATGTAACAGGAATGTAGTGATGAATGTAGTGGTGAATGAACTACACAAAACTACATAGATACTAACGGTTCTTCCATTGATCAAACATATAATTGATTTTTTTTACTTTAACCATTTATATTATACTGTGATAGCGCCACACAACAGTACGCTGTCGCACAAATGGGCAGGTTCGCCGGGGGAAGTACCACGACCTCACAGAAGACCGGCGTGAAATGGAAGTGTTATACTTCTGCGTTTCGTCTGGTGAGTGAGGTAGCCGGGGCCCACATTATTTAAAGGTAACGCATCTGCTACGGGCGTTGCACAGGCAAAGGTTATCACTTAACACCAGGTAAACCGCCAGTCCGCTCGCTACCTTCTCACATAAAAAAAAAAAACATAAATAATTCCTATTTCATAGTTAAATTGATAATCTTGGTTGAGCGCGAACAGAGAACCGCATCCTAAGTAATTGAGGTACTAGTTACAAGTTACTCAAATAAAATTTGCGATCGCTCACGATGAACAACCTGCATCATCCTTTGTCTTAACTGTCATAAGCACAATAGCGAGGTGTACATTAAATCGAATGCTGAATTACGAAATCATTTCCGGGGACAAAAGACAAGTGTGCACGTCACGCGCAGATCCCGCTGTGTTGTGATTTACAAGTTTAATAATTTCTGCTTTCATGATGCTTTATAGCAACAGTCTATTTATTAGCAAATGAAACTTCATGATGATGATGATGATGATGATGATGATGCTTTATAGCAACAGTCTATTTATAAGCAAATGAAACTTCGTCATCATGATGATGATGATGATGATGCTTTATAGCAACAGTCTATTTATAAGCAAATGAAACTTCGTCATGATGATGATGATGATGATGATGATGCTTTATAGCAACAGTCTATTTATAAGCAAATGAAACGTCATCATGATGATGATGATGATGATGCTTTGGCGAAAAAAACTCAGCGGGACAGTTCTTTTTAACATAATTTGACAAAGAAATAAGAAACGTGTTTAATATTATATTAAAACAAACATGATATTAAATTCCACTTGAGGGAGCCTGCAACGATCTCATTACCAGAGTATGTTATTATTTAAATATTCAGTAATGCTATGAGAGCCTTTAACACAGAAACGGTGCTTTACAAGGCTTCTCCAGAGTCGAATGCCATAGGACATTATACTGTATATATAACTAAAATATACCAAGCGAGCCGTATCTAAGTCAGTCAACTGTCTTATGTTTTTAATCACAAAGGCCGCTGAGCTAAGTCTACTCGTCAATAAGATCATAGTTTTCGTACTATCGTAAATCACACCTTTAAATATTATACAGCGTGTCGTTACTATCGCGACAATAAATGAACACACGTCTAACGCTACTTGCCAATAATCATAAAAAAAAATGTTAACGTTAAAAAAATCCATAATTAAAAAAATATTTTTCAAACAAACTAATTG